GCGACAAATCAGAGGAGGCATTTTTTCTTTCTCCATATTTATCAAAAGAGCATCAGCGCTGAGAAACACACCAACATACAGGAGACTGACTTCAGAGAGAGGAAACACTCCAGTGTAATACAGCATTAATGCTGCACCTGCAGAGAGCTGCTCCACACACTGATAACCATCACACACACACACACACACACACACAAATAACCTGCTCTCTCTCTCAAGCACACACACACACACAGACACACACACACTGATAACCTACTCATACACACACACACACACACTTATAACCTACTCTCTGTCTCATGCACACACACACACACACACACACACACACACTAATAACCTGGCAGTGATGGCACAAATGCTCTGGTACCTTCTGCCAGACGGCAGCAGTGAAAAAAGTCTGTGTGAGGGATGGATGGGGTCATCCACAATGCTGGTTGCTTTGCGGATGCAGTATGTGGTGTAGATGTCCATGATGGAGGGGTGCAATTCTCAAACCAGGCGATGATGCAGCTGCTCAAGATACTCTTCACAGTCCCCATGTAGAACATGATGAGGATGGGAGGGGGGAGAGGAGCGGAGGAACTTGGTGCTCCTGACGATTTCTACAGCAGAGTCAGTGATGTTCAGTGGAGGGTGGACACTTCACACTCTACGAAAGTCAACAACCATCTCCTTAGCTTTGTCCACATTCAGAGACAGGTTGTGGGTTCTGCGCTAGTCCGTTAGCCGCTGCACCTCCTCTCTGTATGTTGACTCATCGTTCTTGCTGATCAGACCCACCAGAGTGGTGTCATCAGCAAACTTGATGATGTGGTTTGAGCTGTCCTTTGCAGTACAGCCTACTCACAATCGCATAAACACACACTGATAACCTACTCTCTCTCTCTCTCTCTCTCTCTCTCTCACACACACACACACACACACACACACAGACAGACACACTTACAACCTAATCTCTGTCTCTCACACACACACAAACACACATACACACACACACACACACACACACACACACACACACACAAATAACCTACACTCTCTCTCCCTCACTCTCTCTCTCTCACACACACACACACACACACACACACACAAATAACCTTTTCTCTCTCACACCCACACACACACACACAGAAATAACTTACTCTCTCTGACACACACACCCAGATAACCTGTTAACACACAGACAAACACACACTGTGTTATCTTTCTCTCTCTCTCTCTCTCTCTCTCTCTCTCTCTCTCTCACACACATACACCTGATTACACCTGTTTCTCTAATTAACGAGAAAACAGCATTATTGTTTTAATAAATAAAATCTTAAATTTACTATACTATTAAAGGTTTATATTCAAAAACAGTTCATTAGTGGATGAGAACATTGTTGTCTTATTGTGAAAGTCAACTGACACACACACACACACACACACACACACTTATAACCTCCTCTCTGTCTCTCTCACACACACACACTTATAATCTACTTTCTGTCTCACACTCTCATATGAGAGGCCAAAATTCTAACTTACCTCTCAAACTCACGACCAAACTCTCACACTTACTATCAATCCTCTCACACACTACCAAACTCTCTCACACACAATACCAAACTCTCACACACACTACCAAACCCTCTCACACTCACTATCAAACCCTCTCACACTCACTATCAAACATTCTCACAGTGAATATCAAACTCTCTCACACACACTATCAAACTCTCTCACACACTATCAAACTCTCACACACTATCGAACTCTCACACTCACTATCAAACCCTCTCACACACTATAAACCTCTCACACTCACTATCAAACTCTCTCACACACTATCAAACCCTCTCACACACTATCGAACTCTCACACTCACTATCAAACCCTCTCACATACTACAAACCTCTCACACACACTATCAAACTCTCTCACACACTAACAAACCCGATCACACTCACTATCAAACTCTCTCGCACACATTATCAAACTCTCTCACACACACTACCAAACCTTCTCACACTCACTATCAAACCCTCTCACACTCACTATCAAACACTCTCACACTGACTATCAAACTCTCTCACACACACTATCAAACTCTCACACTCACTATCAAACCCTCTCACACTCACTATCAATCCCTCTCACACTGACTATCAATCCCTCTCACACACACTATCAAACTCTCACACTCACTATCAAACCCTCTCACACTCACTATCAATCCCTCTCACACTGACTATCAATCCCTCTCACACACACTATCAAACTCTCACACTCACTATCAAACCCTCTCACACTCACTATCAAACGCTTTCACACTGACTATCAAACTCTCTCACACACTCTATCAAACTCTCTCACACACTATCAAACGCTCTCACACACTATCGAACTCTCACACTCACTATCAAACCCTCTGACACACTATCAAACTCTCTCACACTCAGTATCAAACTCTCTACACACACTATCAAACCCTCTCACACTCACTATCAAACTCTTTCACACACACTATCAAACTCTCTCACACTCAGTATCAAACTCTCTCACACACTATCAAACCCTCTCACACTCACTATCAAACTCTCTCACACACACTATCAAACCCTCTCACACTCACTATGAAACCATCTCACACTGATTATCAAACTCTCTCACACACACTATCAAACTCTCTCACACACTATCAAACTATCACACACACACTATCAAACCCTCTCACACACACTATCAAACTCTCTCACACTCACTATCAAACTCTCTCACACTCACTATCAAACCCTCTCACACTCAATATCAAACTCTCTCACACACACTATCAAACTCTTTCACACACACTATCAAACTCTCACATGCACACACTACCAAACCCTCACACTCACTATCAAACTCACACACACACACACTTATAACCTACTCTCTGTCTCTCAGACACACACACACACTTATAACTTACTCTCTGTCTCACACTCTTATATGAGAGGCCGTTTAGGCCAAAATTCTAACTTACCTCTCACACTCACTACCAAACTCTCACACTTACTATCAATCCTCTCACACACACTATCAAACCCTCACACACACACTATCAAACTCTCTCACACTCACTATCAAACTCTCACACTCACTGTCAAACTCTCACACTTGCTATCAAACCCTCTCATACTCACTATCAAAGCTCTCACATTCACTATCAAACCTCTCACACACACACTATCAAACCCTCTCACACTCACTATCAAACTCTCACTCTCACTATCAAACTCTCTCACACACACTATCAAACCCTCTAACACTCACTATCAAACGCTCTCACATTCACTATCAAACCCTCTCACACTCAGTATCAAACTCTCTCACACACTATCAAACCCTCTCACACTCACTATCAAACTCTTTCACACACACTATAAAACTCTCTCACACACACTAACAAACCCTCTCACACTCACTATGAAACCATCTCACACTGATTATCAAACTCTCTCACACACACTATCAAACTCTCTCACACACTATCAAACTGTCACACACACTATCAAACCCTTTCACACACACTATCAACTCTCTCACACTCACTATCAAACTCTCTCACACTCACTGATCAAACTCTCTCACACACACTAACAAACCCTCTCACACTCACTATGAAACCATCTCACACTGATTATCAAACTCTTTCACACACACTATCAAACTCTCACACACACCATCAAACTCTCTCACACACACTATCAAACTCTTTCACACACACTATCAAACTCTCACACGCACACACTACCAAACCCTCACACTCACTATCAAACTCTCTCACACACACTATCAAACCCTCTCACACACACTATCAAACTCACACACACACACACTTATAACCTACTCTCTGTCTCTCACACACACACACACTTATAACTTACTCTCTGTCTCACACTCTTATATGAGAGGTCGTTTAGGCCAAAATTCTAACTTACCTCTCACACTCACTATCAAACTCTCACACTTACTATCAATCCTCTCACACTCACTATCAAACCCTCTCACACTCACTATCAAACTCTCACACTTACTATCAATCCTCTCACACTCACTATCAAACCCTCTCACACACTCTACCAAACTGTCTCACACACAATATCAAACTCTCCCACACTCACTATCGAACACTCTCACACACACTATCAAACCCTCTCACACACACTCTCAAACTTTCTCACACTCACTATCAAACTCTCACACTTACTATCAAACCCTCTCCCACTGACTATCAAACCCTCTCACACACACTATCAAACCCTCTCACACACACTATCAAACTCTCTCACACTCACTATCAAACTCTCACACTCACTATCAAACCCTCTCACACTCACTATCAAACTCTCTCACACACACTATCAAACCCTCTCACACACTCTATAAAACTCACACACACATGCACACTGATAACCTACTCTCACACACACACACACACACACACACACACACACACACACACACTTATAACCTACTCTCTGTCTCTCACACACACACACACACACACTTATAACCTACTCTCTGTCTCACACTCACTATCATACTCACTATCCACACTGACTGAAGAACCACACTGACTGCTCCCACAGGCAGCACGCTGGAGTCACCTGTGCAGGTCAAAGGAGTTTTTGACTCCAGTCAAACCTCTTTTATTCCGGTGTTATTAATCTGCAAGGCTACACTGAAAACTACAATGTTTCACTTTTTATGAATGTTGCCTAATGTTAGTTTAACATATCTGATGTTTAAATTTCAATAAGTTAGAAGTAGAACTGCCAGTTAACACCAACAGTCAACCCACAACATCAACAACATCCACCACCACCACCGGTTGGTCTCTTAGGCCATTTTCCTAAATATTTCTAAATAAACTTTTCAGCACTTAACATAGTTTTTATTCTCAGTTGTTCAGCCAACGGCGAAAATCCTGAATGAAGAAACTCCTCTACCTATTTCATCCATCTTTCCAGTGTCTCTCCTGGTTCTGGGAGCAGTGCTCTTCCTGGCCTTAGTGCTTCTGGTGGTGCTGTTTTACCAGAACAGAGTGCTCAGGAGAGGTAGAGACATTCAGAGATCATCTACAATCCACTTTCTATACATTCTCTAAACACCATTAGTCCTTCAGTCTGTCATCAGTCTTCTCTTCTACTGAACTGGCTCCATGTTTCTCTTTGTCTCCCTCACAGTGATCTCTAAGCAGAGGCGTAAGGCTCTGACTGAGGCAGTCTATGAGGAGATCGACCGCGGGTACATCACTAAAAGAAATGCCTTGACTCGAGGAGGTGAGTGATATAAAGAGTGTTCTAAATGAGTCTTGCTGGAATAAATTAAAGTATACTGACATTTGAGATCATAGAACACACATCACAGTGCATGCACGTTTACCCAGTGATCACAGCACTGATTCCAAACCCCAGACTTGAGTATTTGTCAGTAGTGGGATAGACTGTGTCAGAGGCACCCAAACAGAAGGCCTTAGCATAAATACCATACTGAACTGAAAATTCCAGTAAAATTCAGCCATAAAATTTATGAACCATGTCATCAATCATGGCTTATGAAGCTGGAAGACATTCTAACCCAAATCCTAAATCAACACAATCACTTTTACACAAGAACAGACTTACAAATTTCACATCCCTCCACTGACAAATACTGTCTCCAGCCTCTGGTTTGTCTTCATTTGAGTCAGTGATGCTTTTCTGTATTCTCACCTTTTCCAATGAGTATGGAAAAAAGCAAAAAATAAAATATCTAATAAATACTTTGCAAAAGTCTCTTTCATCCATGTTTACAATCATCAACTGATCACAGATGATTGCTGAGTTAACTATAGTAGAATATGTAGTTCACATGGTTGCTAATGGTAGATATAACTATAAGAGCATTTTTATCAGTTGTGAGTACATTTCCCCTTTTGTTTTATACAGTAATCTAATGAACATTTTGTTTTTATGCCAGATTTGTGTTAAATTCTTTGATAAATTGTGTGAAAAGTGAGTAACAACACTAAGAATGTGTTAACACATTAGTAAATATAAAGTGCTACTTTGCTAAGAACATAACAGTAAGGATTAACTCGACCTCAGCAATCATGAAAAATTGTAATAATTAAAGATGTCAGCCAAATGAGAGTTTAGTGTATATTAGATGAAATGTGCAGTTAGAGTAGATCTACATGTAGTGTAGTGTGTTAATTCTGCTGATAAGCATCTATTAGGCAGCTGAAGTTAAACTGAGTAATTCCTGTAAAACTTCCATTTTTAGACATACAGAGAAACCACACAGCTGCAGGTGTGTGTGAGAGAGAGGGAAAAGTGTGTGAGGTGTGTGTGTGTGTGTGTGTGTGTGTGTGTGTGTGTGTGTGTGTGTGTGTGTGTGCACGTGTTTGTGTGTGTGTGTGTGTGACTGAAGGAATCACAGAGAGAGCGTGCCCACCAATCAGTGAGTGAGTGACTGAATTACAAGTGAATAAACAAGTGAGCGAATGAGTTAGTGTCTGAATGAGTGACCAAGTGAGTTTGTGACAGCGTGAGTGACCAAATAAATGACAAAGTGACAGAATGAATGAGTGACAGTAATTGAAAGAGTGATTGAGTTAGTCAGTGACCAAGTAAGTAAATAAATTAGTTAGTAACTGAGTCAGTGAGTGATTGAGTGACTGACTGAGTGAGTGATTGAGGGAACAAGTAAGTGACTGAGTGAGTGATTGTCTACATGACGAAGTGAGAGAGTGACCAGGTGATGAGTAAAAACTGTGACTGAATAAGTGGCTCAAAGAGTGAGTGAACTAATGATGAGCGTGTGATCGAGTTTTAAGTAATTAGTGAGCGCTGAGATAGTGAGCGAGTGAACAAATCAGTAAACAAATAAACAACCAAGTGATCTTAATGAATTTAATGAGTGGTCGAATGAGTGCTCAAGTGATTGACCATGTGAGTTGTCAAGTATTGTATTGAGTTACAGAGCAAGTGACCAAGTGAAAAAGCATTCTGAGTGAATAACCAAGTGACCGCGTGACCAGACAATAAAGTGACAGAATGAGTGACCAGACAAGCATATGATTTTGTGAGTGACTGATTGATAAATGAGTGACCACGTGAGCAACGAAGTGACTGAGAAAATGAGTGAGTGACCATGTGAGCAACCAAGTTAGTATCTGAGTGAGTGATGACTGAGTGACTGAGAGAACAAATATTGAATGAGTTACCAAGTGATAAAATGACTGAGCAGGTAAGTGACCAAGTGACTGAGTGACAGATTGAGTGACCAAATGACCAGTAAAATGAGTGATTGAATGAGTAACCAAGTGACCAAGTGGCTAAATGAGTGACCAAGTGATAAGTGAGTGATGAGTGAGTGAACAAGTGATTGATCAAGTGAGTCAGTATGGCCAGTTGACCAAGAGATTGAGTGAGTAACCAAGTGAATGAGTGACAGAGCAAGTGACCGAAGGAATGACCAAGAGAGTGGCTAAATGATTAGTGACTGACCTAATGAGTGGTCAGGTGAATGAGTGAGAGACTAATTGATTGACATATATGTGGGTCCACAACTGAACCACATCAGACAAAATTTAAGAAATCAGATATTAAAGGAAGTTAATTAAAACTATTTGGATGAAGCCTGTGAGCTAGTAAGTCAGTCAGTCAGTCAGTCAGTGAGCGAGTGAACCAGTGTGTGATTGTTTTTGAGCAGCATGCTTTTGCTCTAACACAGTGATCCAGTCTCATACTGGACTCTGCTGCTTTGTCCTATTTACACAGTGTCACTGATGATTAAGTTCCACTGTACCACAGCAATAACACTGTTTTTCTGAATGTTTTCGTCCACAGCCTACCTGATAACATGAATGTTCCTCATTTCATAACCTGGATTTATCCATAAACGTTATTTATGCAAGTTCCTCCATCCTAATGACCCACGCAAAATGTACTTGAGTGCTAATGGCTTTACTTTGTGGAGAACCTACTAAACTGTGAGTGTGAGTTTTAAGCCAATGAGCTGCACAGAATGAAAACACATGACAAAACAGCTGGACAGAGCATATTACTATTATAAATAGTGATAATTGCTACCGTTACAGTATATTACTTATTAGTTCTCCTTAAGAACTGGAGATGTTTAGAGTGGTAGCCACTTTCACTCCTCTCTCAAGGCTTGTCCTGAGACATCTGGACATACAATTTATGCTCTGTATGATGTGTCCATGATTGTGTAAGTTGAATACTTTTTGCTTTTTACATTTTGGTTTCTACATACATATCACAGTAATGCATGAGCATCACGGTCTGTAAATGTGCACTTTCTACTACAATGTCCAGCTGTACTTACTGATGTCTTTCGCATCTAAATGCAGATGTCACTTTAGACACTGTTCCTATTGGAAAATGAGCCAGTGAGCAGTCTGTGTGACTAAAACTGCCATCTACTCATTTATTTAGGTTTTTCCTTCAATTTGTCCTCAGCATGTAGCTCTGTATGTGGATGTATGATCCACAGCACTCTGAACATATTTTATGACTGTTCTGCTCTCCTCTAACAGGAAGTATCTCTCTGAAGGATATGAGGATGTGGATGAAGAGCTTCTCTCAGGTAAGAGGACCAGAACATGTGTGCGTCCTCTGAGAAATATTACAGTCACAAATTATAAATAAAAGAACTTATCACTATGTCCATGTTTTCATAAACAATGACCGTTTACATAAATTATGTTATTTGATATGTAATACATAGTCAGTAATAATGTGTTTAAGTTATATGGTGCCTTTTACAAACTCAAAGATGCTCCACAACAGTAAAAAAATACACAAATCAAAAATGTACAAAACTCATCACACACACACACACACACACACGCGCACACACACACACACACACACACACACACACACAGTTTCCTGGCTGGTGAGGAGAAAATTCCCCAAATCACAGAATAAAGTCTCATAAAAGCTCCTTAGCTGTGGTGTAAAGTTTCTCGGTCAGCAGGTTCAGTAAAGCTCTTTAGCCATGGTGTAAAGCAGAGCTGCTTAGTTTCAATACTATAGAGCTGGTGTCCAGCACTGTATGGTCATTTCCCAGCTAAAACTCACCTACTAAACCTGACATTTAACAGATAGGTTGAATCAGGGATTGAGCAGGTAAATAAGCAAACTGCTGTGGACACTGACACTCCAGGACGGGAACTGAAGAAATCTGGGTTAGGGTTTTTCTTACAGTATCTCTCCAACTGTAAGAAAAAAAAAATCCATAATCCATAATCTTAATCATATATTGTAACTCACAAAACACTCTACTGAAATGTATGGATCTGAATTTTTTCTTCTTATTCTTATATTCTTATATATTGTAGCGTGTCCCTCATGAAATGTGTGTCAGGTTAGTTCCAGGCTGTGTAGCATTATTGTCTGCATTTATTCTGGGTTTATTCTTGTTAATGCATGTGTTTATGCATTGGAACATGAAGAACTAGTCAGTCTAGAGCTGGAGGTGGAGGAGTGCGGACGTGAGAGAGTGTATTTGTGTACATGTGAAGAGAATAAATGTGTGTGTGGAAGTGTAATGTCAGTGTGTTGGGATGGAGGGGTTGTGTCTGGGTCTGTGTTCGAGAGTTGTGTCTGAGAGCGCCCTCTACTGTCTGCACTGATGTTATTTCCTGTAACTAACCCAGTTCACAATGATCCACAGCACTCAGAGGATTGTGGGTGGTTCTGCATTCTGAATGTGTTTGATGACTGTTCTGCTCTCTTCTAACAGGAAGTATCCTCTCTGAAGAACAGCATTCAGGATATGAGGATGTGGATGAGGAGCTTCTCTCTGGTTTGTGTTTGTTCAGTGTAGTTCTACTTCTACCCCAGTATACAGTGTTTATGAGGAAAGAAATTTAATTTTGAAACAGGTACATGTTAGTTCTTTACAATTTTTTTTTACATCACTAGTATTTGTTTTTGTTTGCTGTTTCAGATGGAAATTCTCTTTAATAGTGAGTTTAGTTTGTTTCTTTGATTGAAGATTTGATTCATCTCTAGATCAGAAGTGTCTGCAGAAATGATTTCCTGAATAATCTTAATGGAGTCACACACTGAAATTGTTACATTAAAGCGTCTCTGAATGAGGATTTTATTTTCCAAATGTATTTAAAAGTGATAATTTTTACTCTGTTTGCGGAAAAGTCTCTGACTGGAGTAAAGGCAGAATATTATGATGATGTCACCACCAGTGGCCTGATAAGTGAGCTCTTTTATTAATTAAATTACCTGATTTTGTCTTTACATTAAACCACAATCTAAAAATTGATGCACTGTTTGTAAAGTCAGTCTGCTTTTATTTGATTTAGATGACTCAGCAAAAGAGGACACAGCAGAGAGCTATGATGATATAATCACTGCTGGACAGATCTCTGATAGTGTAGCAGGTGTGTTTCTGTTTTGGGGTTTTAGTTTAGAAAGAAATAGAAATTAAGTAGAGATTTAAAATCATTACAAAAGCTGTGAAAATAGACTCTAACAGTCTGTGTTTGTAATGACTTTCTGAACCATTTGAGGAGCTTTACTGTCAGGTCCTCGTCTCTGCCCACCTCCTCTCTCCCTCACTCGGTTCTGCCCTCCACCTGTTTATGATTTCATCTCTGCTATTTAAGCTCCAGCTTTCTTTCCTCAGTTGTGAAGTCTCGTACCTCTTAGCAGATCACTGAGCCTTATGGCCCTCATAGAGTGTTTGTTCATTTGTTTCCCTTTGATTTTTTGGTTTATCCTGCTACTGTGCTTGTGTTCTACCCTTCTGAATTATAGCCTCGTTTTGCACTTGCATCCAGGCTCTCATCTCCATACGTGACATTTACTCACCCTTACAGCAGTGGTCTACACATAAGGGCAGGAGAGTATTTTGGTACGCATAATATATGGCTGCTGCCGGAACAAAACCTTATATCTTTTAACTTTTAATGGAAGTAAATGGAGAAATATTTTTAGTATTTTGGACCATTTAATTACCAGTTAATTCATACATCATGAAATTTTCAAATGATGTCAAAAAATAATAAATTGAGGTTTTGTCCCAACAATGGCTATATCATCATACCTGCAAAATCTGACCAAAATCAATTTATTATTTGTTACTGAATTACATTTTGTTAAGTACTGTATATAAATACTGTATATATACGGTATATGTTTTGGTGTAGAGGACGCAGCAGAGAATTATGATGATGTCATCACTGCTGATCAGAGATCAGCTGTTGTAACAGGTTTGACTTGTAATGTAACAACACTGTAATCTCAAACATGAACAGTCACTGATGATGCTGATGCTGATTTAATGACATTTATCTCTACATTTTCACAGAAGACATGACAGATAACTATGATGATGCTGTTACCACTGGACCAAACTCCAACATTATGACAAGTAAGAATTTTCTTAATGTATAGGAAAAAAATTAAACAGAAGCTTTAACACAGTAAAAACATCAGTTTTGTTTCTTATTGTTATAACTTATGTTTCCATGTTGGTGTAGTGGACACACCAAAAAACTATGATGATGTCATCACTGCTGGACAGGATGTAGGAGAGGTAAAAGGTGAGTGGCTGATTTTGTTGTGTATGTATTGCAGATGTACATGTGGAGTGTGGAATAGGTGATTTATTTGCAAAGGAAGTCTCATAAAAGCATGTTTACATTATCTAGGGGATATGATAAATAAATAATGTCCTCATTATATTAATGTGGGACAGAACACTGCCTTTTTTATCAAGTACAGTCCTCGTTCACTCTTTAAAGAAGACATATTTATTCCAGTGCAGACAGTTCAGGAGACTAATAAAATAAATCATTTTTAGTTGCACACGTAAGCTTATAAGTGCAGTTTGTATCATTGAGTACAAAGTATGCACATGTGTAAGATGGACATGATTAGTGCAACACTGCCATCTAGACAGCACTGGAAGTAATCAGTCCTCTCTACATCTGTCTAAGTGTGTTCTGGGAATAATGGATAATGCAGATGCTCAAAACTAAAACAAAGTTGGTTGTGTTTTTGTTGGTTGTATCTTGGTTTATGGAGGGTCAGTGTCCAGCACAGCTTGATGTTTTCTATCTCAGAGTTTTAATGCGCTTCTTTTACAGACTATGATGACGTGGAGGGGGAGCCTCAGACAGAACCTCAGACAGAGATGAATCATGTGACTGAGAGCTCACAGCCAGTGTCTTTCCTCAGGAAACTACACTCAAACCTCTTCAGACACAAAAAATGACATTATTATAGACCACAATTATTTTTTATAAAGCATAAATGGGATACAGTGGGTTAAACACCCACAAGTATATGTAAACAAATTACAAATGACATTTTATTTTTTATACTTTTTTTTTTAACCACTACCAGCCTCAGCCAGCTACGAACATTTAATAAGACGTCTCATCTCATTAGTTTATTACATCAAATTGATTACGATCTTATTTTGATCTCTTTATCCAACTTTTTTTATCTTCATGAAAACATTTTATGTCTGGTGTGATAAAGGTCATCAGTTAAAAGGTTTTATGAAAAATGATTGATTTGTTGGCAAAAGCAATATTTTTTAATTACGATGTGAGGAAATGATTGTTTTGGATTGTAGGTCTGCAGTTAAAGGGTTCTTAATTGTCATTGTATATTATTTATGAAGGTAAGGAACTGAAAGATGTTGTGGTCAGAAGAGATTGTTCAGCATTTATCAGTCAGAAACAGTGAAGAAAGTGATGTTTCACTGTAAGTAATTTTATATATCAGCTTCTATTATCAATACTGGCTTTCAAAATCAAGCAGCTGCTTATAGCTGTTTTATCTTGACCAAACTGAGCCTCTCACCTGTGATCCAGTCTGAGAATTTGGCGATTTGCCCCTTACTTGAAAACTGCATACAGTTGATACTTCCTGTCTGGTACCATGTTTTATATCAAAGGACAATTATGATTGATAAGCGCTTATTAGTGATATGTTTTTATTCAGAGTAATTATAAAAAGGGACTGATGTAGGACATATTCCTTTTCATGAAGGGTTTTTTTTTCTCATAATAATTTGTTAGAGAACCTATAAACCTGTAAAATTTCAGGTGTTAGATTAGCATTCTTTACATATCAAATACATGCAGCAACAGCATTGAGAAATCACATGATTATAAGAGAAGAACAACTTAAACATAAAAACTAGCCACATTAGAGCTAGGATACAATTAGAGCTTTAATAAACAGAAAAATTAGTATTTTAAATTAATCACATTGTTTCTTGTAATTACTTTATTTATTTATTTATTTATTTATTTATTTATGCTGCTGAGAACACTTTACTTGAAGCCTACTACATAAGCATGCCATAAACATGTAAAGATGAGTAGATGAGTTATCATGACAGATATTGTTCAGTAATATGACAGTATATTATCATTATCAGTTACTGTCATGAAAGATGCCATAATGTTTAATGTCATATGTTAATTTTTGCTAAGTGTAGTTAGTTGTCATGACTGGGGGTGGAAAACTAATGGTTCATACACTTTTCAAAGTCCTGAGCGACGCCCCACTACTTTTTGAGTTCAAGATGCAAACATAAAAAACCTCAGACAGTCAGAGCCTTTCTATTAGCTATTGTAGTCCATGCTCTTTAGAAGGGGAATGCCCAAATAACATTTAAGAGGCATACTAACCCATTGTGGCCACTAGGATCCCCAAACAGGGCCTACACAAAAAAAAAAACAAAAAAAAACAAACAGATATTTTATACAGAAATATGCAGCATTGAGAAATTACATTTGCATCATGCCCCCTTAAATAATGTATACACAGTTTAAATATTTTTGACCACAAGGGGCACACTTTCACACACACAACCTATACTCACACACACACACACACACACACACACACACACACACACCTACACACATTTTGTGTTAGGTCAACCTTCCCTGTGGGGACCTTAGACCGTTTTTACTGAAACTGCCAGGAATCTCACACACAAACACACACAAACACACACACACACACACACACACACACACACACACACACATGCACACATACACTGCTAGCTCATCACACCTAAACAACTGCACCTCACACATCCCAACTAGAGTCCCACAGCAGCTTTAAGTACAAATTGGGATTTTTTTTTAAATTAAATATCTATTTTCAATATTTTCTCCTATGAGATATTTTAAATCAAAATATGGTCTCCAAGGACAGACTAGGACAAGGATCTGAACTGACTGTCAATTTTGTTTCATAATTTTAGCACTTATGATTATTGAATAAAAATCAATACATTTTGGAGATTGGTGCAAGTACCACCTAATTTTCTTAGAGCTGTTGAGCTGCTCATTACACTTCTGGAAACCCTGCACAGTTTTGGGATGCCAACATTGTAATGAATAGACTCTAAGTTTGGATCTTCTTCCCAATTTGTGATCCAACATCTATATTGTCTTCCCCATTCCCATATTTTGGTCTTATGTTCTGATATTTTGATTTTTGTTCCAGATATATGATCTAATATTCCAAAATTGTGATGTTCCAAAACTGATTTCTGATCTTTCCAAATTTGTACTCTATTACTTCTGAAATTGCAATCCCCACAGTCCAAACCTGTTCCAACCCTAACTCTAATTCTGAAGCTGTGATAAAATTTTCACAATTGTAATAAAAATTCCAATTTCAAACTCCAATTCCAAACCCCAAATCCTTACCTTCCTGTAGGAGGAGGGGGGAGGAAGATGAGGAATAATGCCTTTTTCTACTCTTTATCCATTTCTTCCTTCTTCTTTTTCTTCTTCTCTGTCTTGGTTTTCTTCCTCACAACAAAACAAAATGATCCTCTCTTCTTCCTTGTCCAGTTGTACTGGTTCTGTTCCTGGTGGATCTGGCTCTTCAGTTGAGGCAGGTGATCGCTGTTCCTCCTTCTCCTCCTCCTCAGAGTCCTGAAGATCACATTCACTGTCCTGCAATAACAGTAAATTGTGTAAATGCCTTACAACTGAAATCAAAGGAAATTAAACAAATCTGCACAGTTTTCCCATGTGATTGATTATCTCCGTATCAAGCTGCTTGATAAGTTCCAACCCTTTGACAGTGTGTTGATTTGCATAATCGTCTTTCATTGAGTGTTGTAGTCTATTTTTATTTAATCGCATAAGAATAAGAATAAAATAAATCTAAAATTAGATTTTCTGTACTACTCTAATTAATATTCAACATTTAGTTTTACATTTATTTTTCAACACTGAAATGTGTGGCAAGTTTTGGGGCTTCTGAAAATTAAGGAACATCAAAATACAGCAGTAGAGCCTGTTTAGAGATTTGGAGAATTTTTTATTGGAATTGATGCCAGTACTACTTAAGTACATGTTAATGCTTTTTTTTTATTTATTTATTTATTTATTTTTTTTTATTCTTGATTTTAATGTGATGGGGCATAGCAATTTTGCAATCAGTATAATCATTTTGGATTTGGATTACAATTTGAAATAAAACAAATGTAAATTCCAAATTTGGAATCTGAGATCCAAAAATATTATCTTCTAAATCACAATTTTGGAAGATTACTAAAATGGAACCAAGACCACATTTTTGGAATTTAGATTATAAACTTGGCAAAAGGATCATCATGGAGTCAATAATCTACTAATAATATCTTGTGAATTGAGATTTTATTTTTTTTTTATTTTATTTTATTACTTAGATATTCAGCCTCACACACACCTAACTAGCTCTTCCACACACACCTTCACACACATCTAACCAGCTCTTCCACACACACACCTCACACAAACCTAACCAGCTCTTCCACACACACCCTCACACACATCTAACCAGCTTTTCCACACACACTCTCACACACATCGCCAGCTTTACCACACATATCCTATCACACACCGCCACTAGCACATGCTTAAACAACTCATACCCACAGACCTTCACACATCTAACTAGCTCTTCCACACACACCCTCACATACACCTAACGTTCTCTAACACATAACCAGCTGTACCACACACCTAACCAGCTCTACCACACACACCCTCACACACGCCACAAGCTTTACCACACTCATACACACACACATACACAGACTGCTACCTCTACTACACACATAAACACCTCTACCACACACAACTTCACTCACACAAATTCAGGGTTAGGATTTATAAAGACATACAAGTTAGTCACTCATAAAAGTTTAAAATAAACTGAACAGACTCAAATAAATGTATGAATATTAAGCTGATTTGAGGAAAATGTTTTGTCTTCAATTACTATGTTACAGAAAGCAAAGTATAAAATAAATCATTAATACAAAAGTTAATATCAGAATACTCTGCAATAAAATAAAAGCAATACTGTGGTGTGGCTGCGAATCAGGAGACAGACACTGGCCATCAGAGCAGGTGGTGGTGGAGACGTAGAATGAAGCACGGCTGTGTCTCCTGCTTCTGTGTTATCTGCTCTTGGTGAGAGAGACCTACCTGCCTCGTGAAGAGCTGGGAGGTGTAGAGTCAGCAGTTCTAGATTCCTGAACTCAGCCCAGCTCAGCTCTGCAAACACACACTACTGCTCCAGCACTCATTCTCACTCACTCACTCACTCACTCGCTCGCTCACGTTCACTCACTGACATGGTTACATATGGGATGCAAATCCAGCCAAAAAAATAAAAAAAATAATAAAAAATTTAAATTAAAACAATAAAATGTAAATAAAATCTTTTTGCCATTTCTTTTTTCAAAAATTTGCGCAAATATACTGCCAAAATTGAAAATGAAATGAAATACCTTCATTTGCAATTTAATTTTTCACATAAGCACAAGTCTTTTGTGACAAAAATAAAAATGAATTTAAAACAGCTATTTGTCATTTTAGTCATGTCAGATGTTTGGAAAAAGAAATGACACAAAGACGTTTGCATTTACATTTTATTGTTTTCATTTTCATTTCTTTTTTTTTTTTCCCCGGATTGGCTTCCCTTAGGTTACTAACTTACATACACTTACTGACACACTCACTGACTTCATCACAGTTTGTTCATCACAGTTCAAATTCAGTTCTCTGTAATTTGTGATGTTCAGGGGTCAAAGTTCATGTGAATACTAGAAACATTAATTCACGAGCAGATAATGTCCATTTTAAAGAAGAATTAATAAAAGATTCTGCAGATCGATTATTATAGTAATATAATAACACACATGATTCTGAACTGAAAGAAGAAATTAATAAAATTAATTAAAAAAATCAACTTCAAAAAACTTTTTTTTAACATTTTTAAATCCACAGGGACTGAGCTGTGAAAAGACTGCAGTGAAAATTATGTTATAAATGTTAATCAGACATGTGATTATAGGAGTGTCAAAGTATTCTCATATACAATATTTATTTAATGTTTTTTTTCTTTATACTGCACTTTTTATTTCAACAACAAGCCTAAACTCTCCTCAGATTATTAATCCTCTGCATCTTGTGGAGAAGAAATGTACTGCAGTGATCAAACTAAGAGCTGTACTGCAATTATGTGTGCAATAGTGATTAATTAAATGATTGTGATGAAAAGGTTTTTAAATTATTAAAATTTGATTCAGTTTTAAGAATTACAATATATTGTCCTTATTAAATTATAGGTTATTCTGTATCTGTGTTCTTTAATCATGATTCCATTACACTGTGCTCTCTGTATTACAAAATAATTAAAAGGCAGCATGTTCCTAAATTCAAATATGTAAAATAACATCTGTGAGTTAGTTTCTTTGTAACTTCACTGACTGTTAAACTAGCATTTCTGTGTGTCTGTGTTTTAACTTATAGCAGAGTGTGTGTGTGTTTGTGTGTGTGTGTGTGTGTGTGTGTGAGTGTGTGTGTGTGTGTGTGTGAGATGGTTATCAGTGTGTGGATCAGCTCTCTGCAGGTGCAGCATTAATGCTGTATTACACTGGAGTGTTTCCTCTCTCTGAAGTCAGTCTCCTGTATGTTGGTGTGTTTCTCACCACACTGCTGTGAGCGTCTCTCCTCACACACACCTCTAGAGACGGAGGTGGAGTTCTGTTCATCAGCGCTGACGCTCTTTTGATAAATATGGAGAAAGAAAAAAATGCCTCCTCTGATTTGTCACTGAAAATGTTTGATGATTTCCTCTCCTCTTTCTAATAAGGTAATAGTGAGTGTGATTGGTGGCTGTTGGGAGCTCTCTCTCTCTCTCTCTCTCTCTCTCTCTCTCTCTTTCTCTCTCTCTCTCTCTGTTTCTTCACTCTCTCTGGGGGAGTGGAGGTGAAGCTTGTTCTGCTGCTGAGTTGAACTGACTGTGTGCAAGTCAGAGGGAGATGGACAGCTGTGTGGCTTTCATTCTTCTGTTGTCCACCATCACACTCACCACAGCTAGTAAGTACTCAGCACATATATCTCCTTGTATCAGCTTGAACCATGTTTTATTACAGTGACCTGTTTCTATATCTGGATTTATTTTAAAGAAGAAATTTTATTCCATTTTAGATCAGTCACTTTAAGGCAAGACCACCTTAGGGCATTTTGGGTATTCTTTCTGTGACTGATCTGCCATAATGATAAATATTTACATTTTTGCTCGGTGTGATGTTTCATGGGGACATTTTTTTCCCTGAGGTCCACTTTTGACATTTGTGTGGATTTATACAAAAAAAACAGTTATAAATCATATTATGTAACCCTGTTCTATGATTCCTTTATCCAGATTTACAGGGTTGTTTTTGTCACTGTGGCTTTGAGACTGACAAATGTTAGTGTAAATGATTGGCAGCTCTGTTTTGTGCTAGAATCAAAAGACAGTCCAGGTTAAAAACATCCTATTGCTTGAACTGAATGGGCAGAGCTTAACTGTTGTAGGCTGAATAGCCAGATCTACATAAATGCCATGGTTTTCTTGATATCACACAAACTACAAATTCAAAATGGGCTGTTTTTACAGCTTATTTTCCATATATAGACTGTATGAGCTGGAAAGTGAATAGCACACTTTGAAGCTTTATCAATGCTGACATACTGTGTAGAATTTGTAGGAAAATGATTCCCATTAATTAGAGTCCAACAGGACAATGGTCTCCAGATGAGGTACACTTGAGAGTTAACCCTATGAAGACAGTAAGTAACAACAGAAATAGTGATCATTTTCTCATTCCCTGAAGGAAATCCGTTTACTCAAATTATTCTTAGCCATTAGAACTTCGGTGATAGAAGAAACACACATAGTCCAAAAATTCAAAGTTTAATAATAAAGCAATTGGTAAAAAGGGTAACACAGAATACAGTGCCCTCCACAAATATTGGCACCCCTGGTAAACATGAGCAAGCATTCTTTTTTGCTTATCCATTTGATCTTTCATTCAACATATTAACAAAATCAATCTTTATTTGAAGCACAATGATTGAAAAAGCCTACATCTTATCAGGAAAAATAATATTTTTCTCAAATCTGTGTTTGCCACAATTATTGGCACCCCTTCATTTAATACATTGTGCAGTCTCCCTTTGCAAAGGCAACAGCTCTGAGCTTTCTCCTGTAATGCTTATTGAGACTGGAGAACACATGGCAAGTGATCTGAGACCATTAAAAACAGCCCCACAGTATTACAGATCCAACACCATACTTCACAGTGGAGATGTCTTCTGCATCGCTAACGTTGTGTCCATGCTGAACTCACTCACCTCTGGTGTTTGTTACCAAAAACCTCTATTTTGGTCTCATCTGACCATAGAACAAAATAGGTCCCACTGAAAGTTCCAGTAACATTTGGCAAACTCTAGGCGCTCGTGTTGTTTGTCCTTCACAGCAGAGGCTTTCTTCTGGCATAAACAACTTGTGGTTATATAGGAGGTGTTTGATTGTACAGTGGGAGATTTTCTGACCCCAAGACCTAACAGATTTCTGCAATTCTCCATCTGCAATCCTTGGAGATTCTTTGTCCACTAAAACTATCCCCCTCACTGTGCGTGGGTCAGTCCCAGTAGATTCTTAACATCTATACATATAAGCTCCCCAGACAAATTACTCACCTTGCATGTTCAAGGTGGTAGTAACTTCAGGCTCCTGGAGACGGCGTTGCACGAGGGTGAGATTGAGAAAATGTGGCACAGTGCAGTGAATGACTTGTTCAATGTGTAGAAAAAGAGTCACAAAGCAGATATTAATGATTGGCAAAGAGGAGTGATTGCATTTGGGCGTGCTGCAGACATGCACTATCAGACAGATGCACTCTCAGCCCCAGTGACGCCACGTGCACATGCACTCTCTGCCTCAACGGCAAGTTAACTTTTGGCTGCTTCTGCTTAGCAAATTAGCTTAATCCATTTTCCATCCATAACACAACTAGATGATTCCATTAAACGTACCTCCCTGTTGAAAAAAGTCATAGAACCCATTAAACGTGTCTGTTGGTTCCTGGTGATTTTCAGTAGTCAATAATGGTATTCTGTGTTTTCCTGATGGGTTGACATCATGGTGTAAAGTATCCAGATCATTTAATCAGGTGTTGTGTTTGCAACAACAATCCAGATACATTTGATTGTTTCTAAATGGTCTCTAACGGCACTCTTCAAGCCAATTCCTGTTAGGAAGCAAAACCATCAGGCTTTATTCCTAATGGTTCTAATCGTCTTCAGCATGGCTTTAATGAGTTTCAACGGTGGTCTGTTTGTTTTTTCTGTGAATAAACCCGACGTTCATATCTTATCATTGTGGTAAGTTTTATTTTGAAAGTTTCCATATTTAGTTATCTTATTATCAGTAATGACAACGTTAATATATGTTCAGTGTAACTCTTGTTGCCCAACTGTATGTGGTTCGCTGTTTTTCCTCATAAAACCAATAAACACTGTTGTAGCACAGCATGCACTGACGTCATCAACAGGCTGGGGGAGCATGTCAGGCTGGGAGTGCATGTCTGCAGCCAGAACCTTCTCCAAAAATCCCAGTCTACAGGAAATTCTCATTAGAATTGTGGCTGAAAGACGAAACTGACAGAGATCGCCAGTATGTTTCATGGCTTGTGAATAAAAACCGCTTTGCTTCCAGGCAAGAATTGCTCCTAGAAGTCAACGCAGGTCCTTCACAACCAATTTCTAAAAGAAAACTCTGCAGGGAACTGCATACCATGAACAAATGGAGCATAATGACACGCAAGAGGCCTTTGTGTACTTTTGCTCACAAAGTTGCCCGGTTACAGTGGACGAAGAGACACAAAAATTGGACTGTTCATGACTGGAAACGTGTTATCTGGTCAGACAAATCTCGTTTCTGCCTGTATGTGAATGATGTTGGGCATCGTGTTCATCGCAGATCTCAGGAAGCCTTCAATGAGGACTGCGTGCAAGGTGTGGTTCAAGATGGAGGAGGCTCTGTGATGTTCTGGGGGGTGTGTTAATTATGAGCAAGAACAATGAGCAAGACGCCAGGGAAGGCATCCACGAAATCTGGCCAAACTGCACAATTCTGTGATGCAAGAGTGGCCAAACATTGATGTCGCCTACATCCAAAAACTTGTCCACTCCGTACCATATCGAATCGCAGCTGTTTTTTATGCTCATAGAGGTATTACACACTATTAGGTACATTTCAGTCACTGGTGACTGATTTTTTGTCTGGGTTTGGGGCTTGTGGCATACAAACTAAACACAGCTACCTAAATGTATGTGTTTATTTTGTTCAGGATACTTTTTTAAACATGCTGTGTGATGCCATCAGGTAACTGTCTATTGCTGACAGGAGTACAGTCATCATCCTTTCTATTTGATGTTTCTCCCCTCTAAAAATACTGAAATATCTTATTTCTTAAGTCAATGGAAACAGAGAAACAGAACCATGTCAAATTCTGCACTGGTAGTAAAGTAAAACAGTCTCACCAGTAAATAACTGACAAATACAGGAATGTGAAAATAGCCTACTTTTTGAGTGAAGCCTACTTCCTTCAATGCCTAAAAATCAATGTCTAAAAATTGCCCTTTATAAAGCAAACAAATCTGTCAGACTCTATTTGTGAAAGTTTTCACACATCACATAATTCCTCTGACAACATTTGCATGGATATTGATAATGTTTGTATTTGAAATAAAACTCCAAAGTCAGACAAGATCATGAAGCAAAGGCTTACCCATGAAATGGGGTAACTCTGGAGTGATGAATCATGCTTCATCATCTGATTTGGTGAATTCCAGGAGAACACTTCCTGCCTGAATGCATAGTGCCAAATGTTGGAGGAATAATGGCCTTGGGCTGTTTTTCAGGATTTGGGCTCAGCTCCTTAGTGCTAGCAAAGGAAAATCTTAATGTTACTGCCTAAATGACTTTAAAGAGAACTGTGTGCTTTTAACTTTGTGGCAACAGTTTGGAGAAGGCCTTTCTTGTTTCAGCAAGATAATGCCCCCATGCAAAAGCAAAGTAGCAAAGTGGGGACCAACTCCATACTGGGGACCATCTCTCTCTCTCTCTCTCTCTCTCTCTCTCTTTCTCTCTGTTGTACAGACAATGTGAGGTTGATGGATGGTGGCAGTCGCTGTGCTGGGAGAGTGGAGGTTTTTCATAGAGGACAATGGGGAACAGTGTGTGGTGATTACTGGGATATGAGAGATGCTGCAGTGGTGTGTAGAGAGCTGCGCTGTGGAGAGGCTGTAGATGCACTGAGTGATGCTCACTTTGGACCAGGATCAGGACCAATCTGGATGAGTAATGTTGGCTGTAGTGGATCAGAATCTACACTGAAGAACTGTAGATTATCAGATTGGGGGAAACATAACTGTGGTCATGATCAAGATGCCGGAGTCATTTGTTCAGGTATTCTACACTATACTGCATTTAGAAATAATCCCTCTATTCACCGTCAGTTGAATTTAAGTCGGAGTAGGAATTAGGTAAGAGTTTTGACTCTATCTTTGGAAATATGGACATCTTCAAATGTTTTGAAACCTTGTTTATTATATAATTCCCTTTAAATATATGTAGCGCCCCAGCTAGGTAACCAGTAGCTTGGTGGTTATTTAAATGACTACATATAGCGATATAGTGATTGATAAACGTCTGTGACAGCACTCAATATGAACACGAAACACAATTATAGTACTAGAAAATAACTTCTTAATATGCAAAAGATAGAAAACATCCAACACTGTAAATTTTAATTAAGGTATTTGTATTGTCAAAACCAGAACAAATAAAACAAAGCAGTGGAGGCGGTGGGCCCACACACACTCTCACACACAGCTCGCTCTAAGAAGTGTCCCTGGCCGACCAAACGGACCAGTTCTCTACCCCCCTCCTTGCAGGCCTGATACAACAGGCCTCTTCACTCCTAAGAGCAATAAACAAAATCAAAGTTACCTCCGCGGGAGTGGCTATGTCTCTCTACCGCACCTCTCTCTCTTTCTACAGCACTGTAACGGAGCACCGTTGCCGAGCAGCCAGACACACGGGGCAGTGAACGTCCGTAATCCACACAGTAGAGGAGAAATACGCTTACTGAGCTACTTACCGTAATAATACAAGGAGTATAGAGCTAGGGTACACTTTAGCAGCCTGAGTTAGCCTACTACAGCTTGACTTATGAACAATACAATGGGCGATATTTTGAGCAGCCGAGTTAGCCTATCGAGCTAAGCTCTTAACTCATTCGACGAACTGCGTGCAAAACTCCTATATGGGCTCTCTATTCGCCAACCCTGCACTGGAATGTACTCACAGAACGTTCAGACAGTAATTCACTTAAATAATAAGGTCGCACATATGAGCTATGAGCGCCATATATTTCACTCTGTCTCCCTGCTCTTTTCTCTGCTCCTTATCGTGCGTGTTCTCCTCTTTTTTCCTCCTCTTCTTTTTGTTGCTCTTTCCCACTTCTGCTGTTGTCCCTCACACTGACCCTGCTGATTGGCTGATAAAAACACTCAGTGAGATGTTATACGTTCAGAGAGAGGAAGAAGTAAGAGTTATTTCAGGAATATACTTAATCAAATAACCCAAACATTTAGAATTACTTGAATATATATTTGAACATCTACTTCACTTAAAAAAATAAAAGAAATAAACTGACCTGACAGTTTCAACTGGGCTACATATAGATCTGTTTTGTCATTTGAAAACACATATGAATAGACAGTTTACATTTGGAGTTTTAATGAAAAGCAATTTTATGACCTTCAGCCACGTTTTATAAAATCAATGTTTATAAATGCTTTGCTGTCAGTTGTAAGCAAACATGCTGTGTCATCTCTATTTTCACATGCAAACATTTAGAAGTCAAGCTGGTTGGTGGTTCTCGCTGTTCTGGGAGAGTGGAGGTGCTTCATGGAGAGACCTGGTACACAGTTTGTGATGCTGACTTTGACCAGCAGGATGCAGAGGTTGTGTGTCGAGAGCTGGGCTGTGGGCTTCCTGAGGAGGTGATGGGAGCAGCTGCTTTTGGCAGAGGGGAGGGTCAGGTGTGGTCAGAGGAGCTCCAATGTAGAGGCAACGAATCTCAGATTTACTTTTGTCCAACATCATCTTCACTCAGACACAATTGCTCCCATGACAGTGATGTGGGGCTGGTGTGTGCTGGTAAGAGCATCTTTACTAATTAGTATTAAATTCTTTCGCTGATGTGCTATATGTATTTTTCACATACTTTCTGTCTTATTCTGTGTATCGCTGTGCATAAACAGGGCTATAACCAGGATTTTAGTGAAATTAGTCCTGCAGAAGTATGAACCATTTTATATAGTGAATATTCCATTTGTTTTACTTCTACTTTGTTTTTAATTTATACATACCTCCCCTCCCCTTTCCTTTCTGTAGTTGCCATTTTTACAAAAACATCATTCATTAATTGCCCTCATAAACACTCACATATGCATCATATCATAGCATTAGCATAGGACATAGGGGAGGCCATGATTCCACCATGAATAGTGCAGAGCAGAGTAGTAGTAAGGCAGAAAGGAACATGTAAAGCACTGAACTCCCAGGGGAGCTCACCACAAACCACAGGCTTCATGTTACCAGTGACCCCCTCTCATACATACAAAACACACTGACAACTCACATCCTCTGACACAGAATAACACGATAAACACATACATATACCTTACATCAATAAACAATAACATTAATAACAACAATAAATCCCTTTTCTGGAGGGTGCATGTCTCCCATGATCCTCCTGGCATGGCCAGCAGAAAGGCCTCACCTCACAAGCTTCTAGAGGTCAGCGCCAGCCAGTAGCGAGTTGCTACAATATGATCTTGCACAAATTCTGCCTTTTGTATAATAGCTGTGTTAGTCTGGTATGTGCATTGCATGCTTGTACATCTCAAAAAGTCAAAACCAGTCAGCGTCAAAGACTATATTGTATCTCTGATAGTGTAGCAGCATGTTTCTCAAACAGAGCAAACATAGACGGCAATTAAGTTTATTGGCAAACACAGTCATTCTGTGCTCAGCTGAGAAGCAATCTTCTCACAGCTGATAAAGAAGTTTTGGGATGCAAGCTTTTCTGAATAACAGGTTACTGTATAATCAGGATGGCACTGTTTGCAAATTGAATCTCATGACTGGAAATGTGTGGGGAAAAAAACTTCCAAATCTCCTCATAGCTGTCTTTTCTGATTTCTATTGTACAGACAGTGTGAGGTTGATGGATGGTGGCAGTCGCTGTGCTGGGAGAGTGGAGGTTTTTCATAGAGGACAGTGGGGAACAGTGTGTGATGATAACTGGGATATGACAGATGCTGCAGTGGTGTGTAGAGAGCTGGGCTGTGGAGAGGCTGTAAATGCACTGAGTGATGCTCATTTTGGACCAGGATCAGGACCAATCTGGATGAGTAATGTTGGCTGTAGTGGATCAGAATCTACATTGAAGCACTGTAGATCAGCAGGATGGGATAAACATAACTGTGATCATTCTAAAGATGCTGGAGTCGTCTGCTCAGGTAGGATTCACTGAATTTCCATAATCTATTTAACAAGACAAACATTATAATTGATATTTCATTTGACAGCCATCAATTAACTACCATCTAACACCACTTACTTATAACTAACACTAACTAACATTTTTAACATAATTTTTAGAATTTCAGAAATTTTCATTGAATTTGCCAACTTACTTATCCTCCAAATACAATTTGTGTTACATATTTTTGCCTTTAGAAACAAGTGTTTCTGGAAAGAAATTAATTTAAAGCTTTTGTAAATTTTAACAAATTGGTAAGCATTACATTTGTAGCTTGTAGATTGTGCCTCTAGTGTTGTAGTCAAGACTGCTAGATCAGAGTCTGAGTCAAGACCAAGACTGGAACGCATTCCAAGTCAGGATCAAGACTTTTAGTATTCGAATCCGAGTCAAGACTGAGACCAGGAATGGCCAAGACTTAAACAAGTTTGAGACCAAATAAAGATTTATTTTCAGAATAAAAAAAAATATATATGAAATTTATAGTGAATTGTACATTCATTATCATGATATATACTAATACATAATATTACATTTTACAATATAGTTTGTAAAGTATAACATTGCATAATATATAGCCTAAAATTTTATTAATTATAATTATATTATAGTCTTAGTTAAACTTTGCATTGTACCTAGAAGCAAGGTGAGTTTATTCTCTGTCCCATTCTTCTTTCAAACTTCAGAATTACCACCTAAAGTGAAATTAACATAACACTGCTGTCAGAACAAAACCTTGTATATCCAAAATGATAACTTTACAGGCGAAGAAAAACCTCTATTTAACATTAGTATAAAGCCCGGGCATTTAGAATAGTTCAGTGCGAGGTATTGCTTCTTTCTTGAGCTACTAAAGCGTTTATTTCCTGTGTTGTGTTTTCCGGTTTTGACTGATCTTCTGTATTTTGACTTACCTGTTTTTGCCTGACCCCTTTTGGACTGTTTTTGCCTTTTGTCATGTTTGTGTGTCTGTACTTTTTGCCCTTTCTGGATTTGACCTGTGCATGTTTCCTGACAACGATTTTGGTTGACGATACAAACAGTAAAGCCTTTTTTGCCTTGTTTATCTGCGAGCGTCTGAGTGATTCTGTCACGTTACATCGGTAAATTCATCATAAAATTTACATACATTGTAAAGAGCAAAGGACATTTTCGTTTTCAAAACGAAGGAAATACAGCAGTGAATATGTAGTTCTTGGCTTAACGTGCATGAGAATTGACAATGAGTAGCTATCGCTCTGTGCTGTTTTCTCAAGGGTCTTTTCAGATGAAGCTTTTAAACCCAACAGCTTACACCATCACTCGGAGAGTAAACTTAGCAAATATGTATTTAAACCTGTTGAGTTGAACCAGAATTCCATTTGCAGCTTTCCTTGTTTCAGCCTGACATCCAGCAGTCAGTAGCTTCCAAATCAGCCTTATCATTAGGTGAGTCAGATAAAGACAATCTGATGCAGAGTATTAAGGATTTGTATTATGAGATGCTGCCTTGTTCTTCTATCAGAAAGAATGCAGCAATGCAGAGGTTTATTTATTTCACAAGAGACTGAAGACAGTTGACAAATTGAGTAATTGTAAAGATGAAATGTTGCATTCTAGTAAAATATAATGTGTTTTTGTGTGGTATCTGTAATGATACAATAATATACAATTAATACAATTAATAAGCTAGATACAAACATTCTCAATAAATAATGCAGTCTACATTAAAAACATGCAATACATTGGGCAACGACACTACACTGACAAACATTCTAAAGAAGTCTGTTACTGCATTGACCATTACATGTTACAATAGCAGTGACTGTTGTAGGGAGACGTTAATAATATTACATGGCCACATGTTATATGTAACATCCACAGATTTGTGAACAATTCAATAAGAACAGTAAACTTCAGCTCTCAGTAACATTATTATTCTTTTAATGCTCGTACCATTTGATATCTGATATGGAGTCTCACTTTAAATAGTGCCTGAGTGCCTTAGTGGCCATTCAAGGTGGAACAGGAAAATTTGAACAAGCTGAGTGTGCTCCTGAATTCTCTCTCTTTCTCTCTTCTTCTTCTTCTTCTTCTTCTCTCTCTCTCTCTCTCTCTCTCTCTCTCTCTCTCTCTGGTACAGACAGTGTGAGGTTGGTGGATGGTGGCAGTCGCTGTGCTGGGAGAGTGGAAGTTCTTCATGATGATCAGTGGGGAACAGTGTGTGGTGATTACTGGGATATGAGAGATGCTGCAGTGGTGTGTAGAGAGCTGCGCTGTGGAGATGCTGTGGCTGCACTGAGAGATACTCAGTTTGGTCCAGGTTTAGGACCACTCTGGATGAATAATGTGAGCTGTAGTGGATCAGAGTCTGCACTAAAGAACTGTAGATCACAAGGATGGGGTAAACCTAACTGTAATCACAGTTCAGATGCTGGAGTCATCTGCTCAAGTAAGCTGCAGTCATCATTTCCATTAATAAACTTATAAGATCATTATTACTGTGATATTAGATTCATGTTCTAAAGTTTTCTATTAACTTAGATCATACATCCGTGGCTGTAAGGTGGGGTGCATAAGAGTAATTGTAGAACATGTGAACAAAGTGAAAAATGATGTCATGAAATAACAAAGCAGCGTAATTTGAAATTAATGAGTTGATAATATAAATTCTTAGTTTCCAGGCCAAAAGCAATAACACTCCTCTCAACACACACGCTTTGTCCATTGCTGACTGCAACTTCTGGCGAACTACTCGAATGAAAATCCACAGGAAAACTGACAGGAAATAGCTGGGTTGAGTAACGGAATACATGTAACAGCGTAACGTAATAAGGATACAAAAAAAGGTAACTGCAATCCGTTACAGTAACAGTAAAAGGACAGTAATCAGATTACAGGTACATTATTAAAACAGAGTGGTTACCAGCAGGATTACATACAAATGCAAGCCTAAACAGAAATTTATTTTAATGATAAATATATCAGGAGTCGTGTAGATTGAAAGAGTCTTTAATTTGGGGGGTAATGGGGGGAGGTGGGTCCTGCTGCCAAAAGACACTTTTGAAGAATCCCCCTCACAGCAGCAGCAGTACATTTTTTTTTTTATTCAGCCATTCTATAGAAATTTTAGTAAGTATTTTATTTTTATTGTCAGAACTGAGAACTGCTGTGTTTTCCTGAAGATTTCTGAATCAGTCATGTACCCTGATTTTCCACATCACCAGATTCTACAGCATCAGACTGATCTGATCTGATCTGATCAGACAGTAAACTCTTTATTCTCATTTGTTGCTCCTTAAAATTCTTCAGTTTAATCAGCTATAAATCACACTGTTGTTAACCTTAACCTGACAGGTTTTAACTAACAGTCTAAAACGTGAAAAGAGAGCAAATCTCTTGAGCGGCGAAGTTAGTTTCGTTTTCACGTGTTTACTTCTGTCTCAGTGGGAGTTGTATATAACAAAATGTTAATATGTGTAAATGATCATTATTTGTAACTCAGACGATCAGCTCCCGCTTAGTTTTTAATATGAAATTAATACATTTGTAAATCACGTTGACTCTGTGAGCTGCTGAAACCACTGAAAGCTGATTAAGGAGTGTCTACAAACTACCATTATCAAAGTCAGAGCATGACACATCAAAAACCATGAAACGTTATGAGCCAGTACAGCCTTTTAGCAGTTAGAACACACATGATGGCAAGTCAGAGTTATAAGAATGAGCCTCAAAATAAGATTTATAACAGATTGATCTTTTGACTTGGTGAAAAATCTGTTGCATTGACACACTTTGTAAGTGCCTTGAGCACATCACTAACTGGCTGGGACAAAACTTTCTGCAGTTGAATAAAGATAAAACAGAGACTATTCTATTTGGGAATAGCAATGAGAGGCACAGACTAGCTGCCTATCTGGATTCAAGAGCCCTGAAATCTGAAGAACTAGTACATAACCTTGGTGTACTAATGGACTCTGATTTTAGTTTTAGCAGTCAAAAACAGTTAACACGGTTACTAAATCAGCTGTTTATCACCTTAAGAACATCAACAAAATCAGAGATTTTCTGACTAAACCAGACCTGGAGAAACTCATCCATGCCTTTATTTCTAGCAGGTTTGATTACTGTAACTGGACTCCCAAAAATACAAACAGCTTCAGATGATTCAAAATGCAGAGTCTCACTAGGAGTAAAAGAAGGGAACACATCACCTCACAATTCTCAAATCCTTATATAGAGTTTAAGGTACTTTTACTGGTCTATAAACCTCTCAGTGGTGCAGGACCAGCATATTTATTTTATATGTTGCAGCGATATGAGCCGAGCAGAACTCTCAGATCATTAGGAACTAGTCAGTTAGTCCTGCCGAAGGTGAAGACTAAACATGGAGAAGCAGCATTTAGCTACTATGCTGCTCTTAAATGGAACCAGTTGACAGAGAGCATTAGAAGAGCACCGACACTGGACACTTTTAAATCCGGGCTGAAAACATTCCTATTTGAGCAGCTTTCAGCTCAGTTTAAACAGTGTTGGTGTCTCTAGCCCTTCTCCTTTGTACCAGCACCTTTTTATTATCCTAATTTAATATTTAATGTGATTTTTGAATATTACAATTTGATTTCTAATTAGATTTTTCAAGTAATGATTTTGTATTTGAAATCTATTGTTTTAATCATGTTTAAAATTTGTTTTTCTTTACTTTTTAAATGACTCTGGATATTCTTACTCTGTATTTCCTCATTTGCAAAGCACTTTGAATGACAGCAATGTATGAAAGGTGCTATATAAGTAAACTTACTATGCCTTGCCTTGTTTTTTTGTACCAAATAAGGCTGATAAGGAAAAGTCTCAGGACAGCAGTGCAGTTTAACAATGCTGCATTTTATTCAATGTCATTCTAGATCATTTTCTAGTTCTCCTGTGTCTTAGTCTCAGAGCTTTTAGTTTCAGCGTTTTTCAAACAAATCATACTGTTATACAAATTTGTCATCTTTGTATTAAATAGTTCCATAAATCGTTCCACTTACATTTAATAAAACAGCCAAATCTGAGATTAGTGGCTGTTTCTGTGAGGCACAATATTTAAGTCACCTATAATCTCTCATTCTGTTTCATAAAACAGTGCTGTTTGTGTTTTGCATGAGTAAAATTCTAGTTGAAATTATTTTCTTTTTTTTACTTTATTTAATTCTACATCTTTAGTTAAAGACAAGTAATACAAAAATAAAAGTAAGAAGTGGAAAGTAATAAGGTTACATCATTTCAATGTAGCAAGATTAGGTTACAGTTACATTTTTAACAGGTAATCAGTAATCTGTAACAGAATACATTTTTAAAGTAACACTCCAAACCCTGCTTGCTGCCTACTCTGAACATACAAACATACATTTTTATAAGTATGAAAATACATTTTTATAAGTTTCTGCTACAGATAAACTATAACAAATTTTATCAAGAGACCCTGTTTTTATATGATTACATCTTTGAGTCCATGATCCATGACAACTCAGACCATGAGGACAACTCAATAATAATCCCATCTGCAAGTTTTAGTCAAATATCCCCTATTATCTCAAGTGAAGGAATGAATTTTGCTTCCATCTTTCTTAAAACTGAATAATTGTCAACCAAATGGGAATGCTGAAGGCAAACCACAAATGGTGATGGGGATTCTGAAGAAATCTTGCATTAGGGGATACGCAAACCCAAAAAGCTTGAGAACCACTGTTACATATTGGTGAAATGTAACCCTTAAATGGCGTTCGTGTTTTTATTACTCAGGGGGGTCTGGTGGACCCACCACATTATTGTTTTTTTTAATCAATACAGCCATAACAATTTGTGTAAAAGTACCAGATGTTTAAAATATCATAAGTGGCCAGCATAGAGTTCTCCTTTAGCAGCTGTAGCCAGTCAGCAGCCTGTCCATGTTGTCCACCCTCACACACACACACACACACACACACACACTAACAGCCAGCCATGTGGGAGGAGAACAGAGTGAAGGCACACAGCACCTCCACACTTTTATTTCCCACCCACCCCAACACCACATGTAGTATAAATGTGTAGGGGGTGAACAGTGAGAAGTCACTGAAAATGTTATTTTATATGTTCTTCACAGAAAATGAGCAAAGGCTAAAGAATCTAGGGTTGAAATAATAATAAATTAAACATTTTTTCTCCCTTCCTGGATTGGGGCCTTGCCATGGTGGAAGTGCTTGTGTGGTGTAGGGATCTTCAGAGCTATAGGGAGTCTTCTGGAGCAATATGCTCCTGGTAGGGTCTCCCAAGGCAAACAGCTCTGGAGTGAAGACCCAGACTAACTTGATCCAAAAATCCTCAATGACTAAGGGATGCAGGAAATTGTGTACCTTGCCCAGGAGAGGGTTACCGGGACCTACCCCTGGAGCCAGGCCTGGGGGTAGTGTTCCTTGCCGAGCGCCTGGTGGCCGGGCAGCCCACCTGGCTGGGCTCAGCCCAAAAAGGCAATGTGGGGGGACCGTGTGGGCCCACCACATGCAAGGTCCAGCATGAGGCCAGTGGGAGATGGCAGGGAGACCCTTGGTGGCATGGACCCCTGCAGCAGAAACTAGCTCTTTGCACATTGAATGTAACCTCACTGGGGCGAAGGAGCCAGAGCTTGGTATCAAGGCTCACCTCCACCCACAGTGTCAGCTCTGGAACCAAACACCTTGATAGGGGTTGGTCCCAGTGGACGAGAGGGTTGCACAAGGTAAGAAGCGCCAGGTGTGGGTCCCCGGCTGCCTGCTGTGCAGTTGGAGTTTGTCCCAGTGGACGAGAGGGTCACCTCAATGCGAATAAAAATTGCAGGGAGGAAAACTCTGACTGTTGTGTGTGCTTATGCAACAAATAATAGTTCGGAGTATTCAGCCTTCTTGGAGTGAATGCTCATGTTGGCAATGACTGGGAGACCTGGAGATGGGTGATTGGGAAGAACGGCCTGCCTCTCTAATGGTGAATTGTTATTGGACTTCTGTGCTAGGCATAGATTGTCCATAACAAACACCAAGTTCGAACACAAGGATGTTCATAAGTGTACCAGAGCTCCTTAGGTCAAAGATCAATGATCAACTTTGTTGTCTTTTCATCTGATTGGGACCTTACGTTCTGGACACTCGGGTGAAGAGAGGTGCTGAGCTGTCAACCGATCACCATCTGGTGGTGAGTTAGATTAGATGGCAGGGAAGACTGACGGTCAGAACCGGTAGGCCCAAGTGAATAGTGAGTGTGTGCTGGGAATGACTGTCAGAGGCCCCTGTTCGGAATGATTTTAACTCCTACCTCCAGGGGAGCTTTTCTCATAATCCGGAGGAGGTAGGACACATGGTGTCTGAATGGGCCCTGTTCAAAACCTCCATCGTGGAAGCTGCCAGACATAGCTGTGGCCAAAAGCTTGTTGGTCCTGTCGTGGCTGACACACCTCTGCAATATCACATGGACCTTGGGAACAGTACCCTTGGACTGGCAGATTGGAGTGGTGGTCCCTATTTTTAAGAAAGGGGACAGGAGACTGTGTGCCAACTACTGCACAGCCTTCCTGGGAAAGTTTATGCCGAGGTGCTGGAAAAGAGACTCCGACCGCTAGTCAAACCACAGATTGAGGAGGAACAATGCGGATTCCGTCCTGGACGTGGAACAATGGACCAGCTGTTTACCCTCTCACAGATTGTTGAGGGGGCATGGGAGTTTGCCAACCCAGTCTACATGTGTTTCTACACTTTCCCTCAGGAGTATGGGGTGCTGGAGCTACTACTCCAGGTCATTCAATCTCTGTATGCCCAGAATGAGAGTTGTGTTCATATACTCGGCCTTAAGTCAAGTTCGTTCGGTGTTAGTGTTGGACTCCGCCAAGTTTGTGCTTTGTCTCCACTCCTGTTCGTGATATTCACGGACAGGTTGTCAAGGCATAGCTGAGGTCAGAAGGGCATTATGTGTGGAGGCCGGAGGGTGGCATCTCTGCTATTTGCAGATGATGTTGTCCTTTTGGCTGGATCACATGGATGCCTCCAGCGCTCACTGGAGCGGTTTGCAGCTCAGTGTGAAGCGGTTGGTATGCAGCTCGGAAAAAGATGGCGTTCCCGTTCCAGGTAAGGGGAAAGGACCTGCCCCAGGTGGAGTGTTTAAGTTTCTCGGGGTCTTGTTCATGAGTGATGGGAAGAGGGATTGAGAGATCAGCCGCAGAATGAGGCAGGCAGCCACAGTAATGCGGTCACTGTACCGGACTGTAGTGTTGAAAAGAGAGGTGAGCCATAAGGCAAAGATGTCTGTTTACCGGTCGGGTCTACATCCCGACCCTCACCTATGGTCATGAGCTGTGGGTGATGACCGAAAGAATGAGATCATAATTGAAGTGGCGGAAATGAGCTTTCTTCGCAGGATGGCGGATTACACTTAACAGGGTGAGGAGCTCGGTCGTCTGGGAGGATCCCGGAGAGGATCCAGTTGAGGTGGTTCGGACATCTGATTAGGACCCGCTGGAAGGGTTATATCTCCAAGTTGGCCTGGGAGTAGCTTAGGGTCCCCCGGAATGAGCTGGAGGAAGTTGCGGGGGACAGGGCCGTCTGGGATTCTCTGCTCTCCCAACTGCTACCACGACCCTATCTGGACTAAGTGGTTAATGATCATGATTTCAGTAAACATTGAAAATGGGTCCCACAGACCCGAACACCAAACAAGTGTTTTATAAATCTGCTACTTTTTCTATACTGTGCACAGTGTTAATGTACTTCAAATTACTCACTACAATACATACATATCTACATTTCTAAATTTAAATTTAATACTTTGTATATTTTTCTTGTAATCTTTGTACATATACATATATATCTTTATATTTTTATTGTTTATTCTATTTTATATATTGTTTGTATATTTCCTGCTGCTTTGTCTTCTGTGCTGCTGTAACAGCGCAAATTTCCCCGTTGTGGGATTAATAAAGGATTATCTAATCTAATCTAATCTAATCTAATCAAATACCCACAGGTCACAGAAAGTCCAGACTTGCTGATGGTTTCCATCTCTGCTCTGGGAGAGTGGAGGTGCTTCATGGAGAGACCTGGTCCACAGTGTGTGATGCCGACTTTGATCAGCAGGATGCAGAGGTTGTGTGTCAAGAGCTGGGCTGTGGGCTTCCTGTGGAGGTGCTGGGAGCAGCTGCTTTTGGCAGAGGGGAGGGTCAGGTGTGGTCAGAGGAACTTAAGTGTAGAGGCAATGAATCTCAGATTTACTTCTGTCCAACATCATCTTCACACAACTGCACCCATGACAATGATGTAGGCCTGGTGTGTGCTGGTAAAGCATTCATTTTTTAAAGAGATTCAATTTATATAAGATTTATTTATTTACTACCAGTTAGCCTAACCACTGCTTGTCACAATACATGGCAATATATATGGCCTGAACCAGTTTTACCCATGTTTATTCCTGTAACGTGATGTTGATTCAGGTCACACGCAAGCTCGGCTAGTGAACAGCTTGGACTCCTGTTCTGGCCGAGTGGAGCTCCAGTACCTCAGTGAGTGGGGCACTGTGTGTGATGTAAGCTGGGATAGGAGAGCTGCCAGAGTCCTCTGTGGTCAGCTGAAGTGTGGGAGTGCTGTGGCTGTTTTGGGATCAGACTGGTTTGGGGAGGGGAGTGGCCAGATCTGGGCTGATGTGTTTGATTGTCAGGGGAACGAAACACACCTGTCAAAATGTCCCATTTCATCATGGAGTCGAACTGCATGCTCCCATAAACAGGACGCTGGAGTAATCTGCAGTGGTGAGCTCTCAGAATCCCGTAGTCCATCACACAATAATATACACCATGTCAGTTAATGCCTGTTTAGGTCTAAGTCACCCTCAATAAAAACAGAAAGTGCTTAAGTATGTTTTCCTCTTCAGGTTCCTCTTTAGCGTTTCATGAGGGGCAAGTGCGGTTGTCTGGAGGGTTGGAATGTCAGGGGGAGGTGGAGGTGTACTTCAGGCAGGACTGGAGGAGAGTACTGCTGGACTCCTGGAGTGAGTCTGAGGCCTCTGTGGTCTGCAGACAGCTGGGCTGTGGCTCTGTGATCAACCTCTCCAGCTCCTCTCCGTCCAGTCCTGATCGCAGCCACATGTGTGTGACGGGTTTCAATTGTTCTTGTAGCGAAGCTCATCTGGGGAACTGCAGCTGTGCACAAGTAATCAACTGCAGCTCCAGAGAACAGCTTTCAATCACCTGCTCTGGTAAATATTACTTCAGATAAATATCAAAAGAGGCAGACAAGGCTCCAAAAATAATGCTTATGTGTGTGTGTGTAGGTAAATTTAACCCAGATTACAGCTCCATCAGGCTGGTTGGTTCTGGGGGAGACTGTGCAGGAAGGCTGGAGGTTTTCCGCAGCGGCTCATGGGGGACAGTGTGTGATGACTTGTGGGATATTGAGGATGCGCAGGTAGTGTGCAGACAGCTGCAGTGTGGAGTGGCCCTCAGTGCTCCGGTACCAGCCCGGTTTGGACCTGGAACTGGACCCATCTGGCTGAATGAGGTGGAGTGTGAGGGGAATGAGACGTCCCTGTGGAACTGCAGATTTCAGCTGTGTGGAGAAGATGAATGTGGACACAAGGACGACGTAGGAGTTGTGTGCTCAGGTATGGGGATATTAAGTAAGTTAAAGTTTTTACATGAAAGCAAAGCTTAACATTACCACAGAATAGTAGATATTTAAGGAATGAATAAACATTTCCTAAAACACCAAAAATATGTCTGATAAATACTCAGGTATAGGTTGAAGAATGCAAACCCCATCACAAACGATTGTTTTGAGCTTGTTTTGACCTGTTGGACATACCTACCCAGTGCAAGCATATGGTTCTGTGACAGCATTTTAGGGCCACTGTTCATAAAAATAAAAATAGTAGAATTCGAGAATAAAGTTATAGAATTTCGAGAATAAAGTCATACTATTTCCAGAATAAATTCGCAATATTTCAAGACAAAAGTCATAATATTTTGAGAAAAAAGTCATAATATTTGGAGGATAAAGTGGGCTAACTGTAGGGGGGCTGCCATAACGCATTGGGGTCTCGGTTGCTGTACTGGCGCCGGAGCTCCACGCACTCCTGTCTCTTTGTGGATCGATCATTTTGATTATCATTAGCATTGTTTGTGAAACTTCATGCTCTCTTGTCGTACGGTTCAACGTCAGTGCAGCAGCGTAAAATTTTGGGAGTGCTTATGCCAACATAAATGATGGAACTAACCTAACTTTGTGTAAGTAGACCACAATATAGAAATATGTACTCATATGCAGTTGTGACTGGCATGTGTCTTTTTCTGAATTTATACAAACACTATTTCATTTTATAATTAACTTGTTTTTGCTAGTTTATGTTTATGAACAGAGACATACAGATGCAATATAGTAAAGGAAAACTCATTTGTGAACCTGTGCTTAAAGTATGTTTTTGTTAAACTTAAACTTATAACTACATTGCAAATAAATCTTAAACCGAAACTTTGCTTGTTCGCAAAAAGTTATTTCATAGCCACTTAGTTCTACCTAATGGAAATTGTTTGCCTTCAGCATTTTGTGCTTTAATTTTAATAGACATCAGTGACTAATTAATGACATTCTATTAAAAGATTAATTTACCAAGAGTGACACTGGAGTATTTTCACTTAAAATGAGTTAATGAAGCAAGAGTTTTGTAACAAAAATGGTAATAGGACATTAAAGTTGTAATTAATCTTTTAGTACTTTTACTTTCAATACTTAAGTGCATTTGAAGGCAAATACTTGTACTTTTACTCAAGTGGAGGTCCCTGTCACAAACTGGGGAGCTAGCCGTATGTCTGTAGAATTGAAGTTTACTTCTTGCTCGCAGGTACCAGACACCTAGCCACCCGTGAAACAACGGACTGATGTAGTTTTATGGCTGGACTGATGCCAATATTAAGCCCAGCCTATACATGACAAGTGGCAAGTTTGACAGACATGGCCATGTAGGGATAAACAAAAATAAGCAGAACAGAATGTTCTAAATACAATCACAGTGCCAGCACACACAATTTCAAGTTTCTAAGTTTTATTTGTCACATACATAGTCATACACAATACAACTAACAGTGAAATGCTTGGATAACTGCCTGCTCATATGAAGCAATAAGGTAATAAGAAGCAGCATTCAAATAAAAGAACACTATTTTACACAAAAAAATAACGTAATATCCATCTATGAAATATACACTGGAAACACAATGAAGATATGAAATGTGCAATGTACACATGGTATTGTTGAAAGTAAAGTGCAAGGTGCAAAATGTGCAAAGTGACACACAACACAATGCTGTGCAACTGAGCAGGGGGTAATATCAATAAATTATAAGTGATCAATGTTTAGTGCAGGGCCCTGTGTTTGATGGGTGTATATGTGTGTGAGGTGGTCCTATTTGTCCTATTTGTTGTTGTGGTTTAGAGCTCGGATGGCTTGTGGGAAGAAACTCCTCCTCATTCTCTCCGTGTTTGCCTTCAGGGAGCGAAAGCGCTTCCCTGACCGCAATAGAGAGAAGAGTCCATTGTTGGGGTGGCTGAGGTCCTTCGCAATCTTCCTGGCTTTGGTCCAGCATCGCTTGCTCTAGACAGTCTGCAGGTCAGTTAGCTTGGTCTGAATAATTTGTTCAGCTGACTGCACCACCCTCTCGAGAGCCCTTCTGTGCTGCCCATTGCTGTTTCCAAACCAGGCTATGATGTTCCCCATGAGGATGCTTTCAATGCTACAGATGTAGAAGTTCTGTAACACTTTGGAGGGCAGTCTGAAGTCTCTTAGGCATCAGAAGAGAGCTGATGTGGCCAGACCATGACAGGTCCTGCGAGATGTGAACTCCAAGGCATTTGAAACTGTCTACTCTTTCCACTGCAGCTCCATCCAGGATGGTAGCTCCTCTCCTGCTTCTTGCTGTAGCCCACTGTAGTCTTACTGTAGATTATTATCTTGACACCAGTTCTCCAGGTGCTTAATCTCCAGGTAGGCCCTCTCATCATTGTCAGAGATCAGGCCTACTACAACAGTGTCGTCAGCAAACTTAACAATGGTGGTAGAGCTGGAAGTGGCCACACAGTCATATGTGTACTTTGAATACAGCAGGGGGCTCAGGACACAGCCCTGAGGGGCTCCAGTGCTGAGGGTGAGGGCTGGTGAGATGTGTTTTCCTACCCGCACAGCTTGTGGTCTGTCTGTCAGGAAGTTGTAGATCCAGTGACACAGGGATGGATGAAGTCCCAGTTCTTCCAACTTGGTGTGGATTTGCAATGGTCCAGAGTTCTGTCGCTCCTGGTGGGGCAGGTGATGTGGTGGTGAAAGTTTGGTACTGCACGCTTAAGTTTGGCGCTGTTGAAGTCCCCAACCACAATGAGCGCAGCTTCTCTTTGCTGTGCCTGAAACTGTGTGAGTGCTTCATGAAGTTCACACAGTGCAATGTCCCAATGGCCTGAGGTGGGATTTAATTGATGTAAACTCCGAAGGAAGGTAGAAAGGGTGCAGCTTGAGGGTGAGCAAGCTCATGTTGGGTGTGCAGGAGCGTGCGAGAGTAACAACGCCAGCATTGTCGCACCATTTGTTGTTCACCATAACACACACTCCGCCTCCTCTCGACTTCCCCGACTCCACTGTCCTGTCCATGCAGTAAAGCGAGAAGAACTCAGCACTGCTGGGCTCAGCCATGATTCGGAGAAGCAAAGGAGGTTGCAGTCCCGAATGTCCCTCTGGAACTTGATCCTGGCCTGGAGGTCATCAAGCTTGCTCTCCAGAGACTGAACATTGGTTAGCAGTATCTAGGCAGTGGCGCTCGGTATGCTCGAGCCCTCAGCCTTTCCTGACGCCAGCCCGCTTTCCTCTGGGATGCCACTTTCCCCCCCGCAGGATCTCACTAAGCCAGTTAGGGTCCAAAGTTAAAAGTGATGGAAAGTGAGGGGATTGTAGATTTAAAGAAACAAGAGTGTTTCTATCATAACTAATTCATGTAATTGTGAGAAGGATAGAGTCTAAAGTGAGAAGAAAAATAAATAAAATGTGGAAAAATAAATAAAAGGCAGAAAAATAAATAAAAAGCTAATGTCAAAAATAGATAAAATTCTGAATATATTGACATAAACACAGCACTTAACAATTACAGAGCAGTACATTTCTTTAAGGTATCTTTTCCAAGTATCCCAAGTATCTTTCTCCCACCAGAGTATAAAGACATCAGACTCAATGAGGGCTGTGAGGGGAATCTGGAAGTGTTCTACAATGGAACCTGGGGTAATGTGTGTGCAAATGGGATGGATGCAGAAACTGCTAGTTTGATTTGTCAAGAGCTGAACTGTGGACAATCTGGCAGTGAATCATGGTTCAAAGCAAGAGTGGAATCAGCTCCTAACTGGCTGGATGATCTAAAATGTAGGAAACATGACTCCACTCTGTGGCACTGTCCATCTTCACCCTGGAGACAGAACAGTTGTGATAACAGCAATGAGGTTACTCACATTACCTGCTCAGGTAGGCAGACTGGAGTGTTTTTGTATGTTGATATTTTTTTTTTTTTAGAAGAATGTGAAATAAACAGTCTTAATTTTCTAAATATCCATCTCTATACTGTGGAGGACCAAACAGATAAGCAACAAGCTTTGTGTAAAAGTTTAGTGATTATAAAATTAATCAATGATTATCTTTTCATACTCACAGAAAAGAAAAATGATCATGTGTTACGGAGCCATGTGAAATGCTCTTCATTTCTCCATCACAGACAGTGCTCAAGTAGGTACATTTGCAAACAAAAAGGTCAACTAGAGGAATCATTAACTAGAGCATCACAAACGCTGTGTGTTGCCCCTTCACAGAAATATTGATGGCATTTTAATCAGTTTTTTGTAATTACAGTAAACATGTGTATTGTGCAATAAAGCTGTATTGTTGAGTTCTGTGATTAGACTGGCTCATCACTTCTCCTCATGTGTGATGTGTGTGATGTAGATCACCTGCCTCTCAGGCTGAGGGGAGGAAAGGCAATCTGCTCTGGGAGGCTGGAGGTGTATCATAACTCTGAGTGGGGGTCTGTCTGTGATGATCTGTGGAACATCAGGGACGCTCAGGTGGTCTGCAGGCAGCTGGGCTGTGGGCCGGCGCTGAGTGCTGATGGGAGTGCTGTCTTTGGTGCTGGTGAAGGGCCTATCTGGCTGAACAGGGTGAAGTGTAGAGGGAATGAGATTCACCTGTGGGACTGTCCTCATTCCCTGAAGAACCACACTGACTGCTCCCACAGTCAGCACGCTGGAGTCACCTGTGCAGGTCTGCTGGATTTTTGAGTTTTCTGAGTCTCCAATCAAATCATGTTCATCCTACCATTAATATAATACCGCTAATATGCAATAGCTTTGATTCTGATACCTAACTTCTCAAATGTTAGAACCAGAGTACCAGTTTAAACTAAAAAAAATAAAAAATTGAGGAGTCAGTGAGGGTGAGTCTTGTGCTTGTGTAGCACTTGTGCACCAAAGTCTATCACAACAGTATGCTACTGGACCAGTTCTAGGTTCATTGGGAGTGGTTGAACAATAAATGACCAGAGACACAAGCATAAGAGAGTATTTGGCTGTTTAGTAGAAGGTTCTCTTGAGTGGACAAGGTTACAAACCAAAAAAAAAAAAAGAACTTCACATTAGCAGTTAAAATAAATGCAATCAAGTTATCTGATTTTCCGACGTGGTGTATATTAGGCAGATTTAGTTAAGGTTAAGGCTTATCTTTTCTTTCCTTATTAGTTTACAGTAGTTTAGTTAGTTTAGGTTAGATTTGGATCAGTATTGTTTGTATTTAGCTAATAAAGGTTTTAATTACTTATTGTATGTTTTTCCTTCAATTAGTTCGGGAACAATAGGTCACGCCTATTTAGAATAATTGCGGATTAAGTATTGTAAGAGTTCACCTTTTTTCTGCTTTTTCTAGGTTTACAGGTTACACATGCACAATGGAGTTCAAGAGGAAAACTGAACACAAATCACCCTTAACATGAATCGACTCTATATAAATGGTTTCAATACAGAACTCTTTAAAAGTCAAATAAAAATAAATAAAAAAAAAAGTCTCAGCTCTTTTGATACAGTCTCTCGAGTGAGTTTACAGTCCAACTAAGTATTTCAATCAAGCTCTCAGAAAAGTACTGTTCAGAAATGTCTCGAAGTTGAAAGGGAAAAAGAAAAACAAAAAAAAAATCCTTCTTTCTTCCTTTGAACTTGGCTTGTAAAGTTCAATAAAAAATAGCTTTGTCCAAAAACAGTTCGAACTTCAATACAATCCTTTTCCTACCGTACTGAAGGAAAGAATTCAGAAGTTTTAGCTGTTAACAGGCACGACATCTGTGGGTTGGCTCGCTATCTGGTGTCTGCGGTGCACACTTGCCTCAGTTCGCAATTTCACAACGGTGGATGAACGCGAAAGAGAACGAGGAGAAAACACACAAAAGAGGAAAGGAGAAAAAAACCTGACCAAAACCGACTCGTTTCACGAACCAACAAAGATAATTTCCCATCTTCGTCTCGTTGACGGTCTGGTAAATGCTTTCAAGCTGGTTTTATAAGGGTTTTAGTTCTTTTATTTTCAGAAAATAGGCTTTATTTCACTGTTTCTTCGGTTTCTCCCCTCTTTTCTCTGTTCTAAATGCGCTGCGGATTTGTCACTCGCACTGCCGTTTTTTTTCCCCAAGTTACACGAGTTTCTTAAAGAGACACCTTTTACTGTACTGCATATAATTACAATGGCTGAGCGGTTTTAATGACATCTTTATCCTTTGTAGGGTTCTGACAATGATTATTATTTCAGCTCATTTAATTGTACAAATAACAATACAATAATTGAATACCTTCTAGGTGTGTGAGCAGTCATATTTTAATATGGGCTACACTTATCTTTTGTTTGTGTATTTACAGAAAGAAATGAGCCCCCTACTATTACACTCATAACAGCTGCCACATCAATCACCACTGGTACGCTGTCATTTTTCAAAAATATTTCTAAATGGATTGTTCAGTGCTCAACATTGTTACTGTATTTGTTAATATTTTCATGTCCAGTGCATTATACAGCAAAGAGAACAACCACTCCTCCACAAACTCTTCCACCAGCTGTTCCATCCATTTATCCAGTGTCTCTCCTGGTTCTGGGAGTGGTGCTCTTCCTGGCCTTAGTGCTTCTGGTTGTGCTGTTTTACCAGAACAGAGTGCTCAGGAGAGGTAGAGAGATTCAGAGATCATCTACAATCCACTTTCTGTACATTCTCTAAACATCATTAGTCCTTCAATCTGTCATCAGTCTTCTCTTCTGGCTCACTGTTTGTCTTTGTTTCCTTCACAGGGCTCTCTAAGAGGAGGGACAACATTGTCTATGAAGGCCTGAGAAGAGGGCTTGAGGGAGTCTATGAAGGTTTGAGTAGGGGCACTGAGAGAGTCTATGAGGAGATTTACTGCAGATTCAATACTGCAAGAGCCACTCAAAGGGGTGAGTGTTCTACATTAGGCATATTATGGTGTATTTATACTTATAATTACTATATATTACTATAAATACTATAAGTTAATATTAAATGTATTCAGTTGGCCAATGACATAAGGGGGTGGAAATGAATATTTTTATATGTTCATCCCCACTCTCCCTGTGCTCTCCCTATTAATATTGGCTCTGTGCTACTCTGCTCTGCAATACACATAAAGTGGTAGCTGGGTCTTATCAACTGCTGTTACTGATTAACCACTGTAATACTTTCATTATAATTAATGTGATAAAATTAAATAAAGATTATATATTTTATTTCAAGGAACACAAAAATCGTATGCTGATACTTTTTTAGAGCTAAAATTTAAATAGATTGATTAAAGAAAATTTTAAATAAAATTAAGAACTTCCATGCAAATGAACACAGATACACCTTATAACACAGTATAACCTCATGTTAGGCTTGTGTTTTGTATAAAGCTGTTTCCAGGAGGAATCCAAGTCTAGTTAAATTTGTGACTCAAGAAATCAAAATAATTACATGTTTTCTTGACATTTTGACTTAATACTTCAGGCACAAAACCCTTATACAAAGGATTAAGTCTCCCCAGGAGATTCCTGGGGAGACTACTCCTAGGAAGGTTCACCACTCTTCCAAGTTTTCTCCATTTGTGAATAATGGCTCTCACTCTGACCCTTTCCAGACTGGTAGATTTCAATGACTTTGTTTCACATCTGTGTTTGAATCTCTCTAGAACATAGCATTGTGTGCTGCTTTTTAAGACCTTCCAGTCTGCTGCACATTGCCAGACAAGTTCTATTTAAGTGATGTTTAGATTAAACAGGTCTGGCAGTAACCATGCCTGGGCGTGGCTAGTGAAATTTAACCCAGTAGTCACCTGAATTTGGTTAACTGGTTCATTAGTAGCTAAGGGGGCAAATACTTTTTCACAAAGGGCCAGGTAAGGCTGAACAGCATTTTTCATTCAGTAAATGAAATCATCATTTCAAGAAAAGGGTTTTGTGTTTCCCTGGTTTATCTTGGTCTAATATTAAAAGTTGTCTGATGACCTGGATCTAACATCCCAGTATGACAAATTATAAATAAAATAAATCGGGAAGGGGGCAAATAGTTTTTCACAGCACTGTACTTCATCTGTCATTATAATAGACATTACTACAAGTGCGTGCATGAGCTTCATCTAGCTGTAGATTTCTTCAGCACTATGGCAACTTGCATGTTAACAGCGCTCCCTACTGAAGAAACATCAGACCGCAAATGTGTTTCAAATCCATGTCCATGCTTTCCACATCAAAGACAAGGTGTTTTCCATGATACAGTGGAGTTTTCATAATTCAGCAAACCATCGTTACACTTAAGCTGTACAGAAAATACAAATTTTGCTCTATCATACACAGTAGCCTTTTAAAAGCCCCATGATAATGCAATAATGCAATGTTTTACAGTAAAGAGTGAATAAATACTATTATACTATTTATTATACTTTATTATACTATTTATTGACTTTTTTTCTGAGAAAACCAGCCATAGACAGGGATCAGAAGAGCTTTCTCTTCAGGTTAGAGCTAAATTAGCTGCTCCAGAGTACTATCCACTCACTTCTGTCTTCTTTTTTTTTCGCCAAATTGACCTGAGCTTAACCTAATTAAAATGTCGTCCAGACCAATATTGTGCAAGCTGTTAGGGATAAATCACTACACCTAATATCATTCAGCATTTTTACTACATTTTGTGGTGCTTCGATAGCACTATATATGTTATGATAGTTAAATGACAGAATTCTCCTCTCCTCTAACAGGAAGTATCCTCTCTGAAGAACAGTATTCAGGATATGAGGATGTGGATGAGGAGCTTCTCTCAGGTAAAAGCATGTGTAACTCGATTCCATTGAAAAATATTACAATTGCCATTTAGAAATGAAATCATTTTAAATCCATGTTTCTTAAGCTACAGGAAAGCTAAGAGAGAAATGTGGGTCACTTACAAACTTGAATGTAAACTTTAAATGCAGAATAACTGAACAAAAATCTGCATGGAGCAATGAAGGCTTGTAATGTGAACATAGTCTCATCTTAATCTTGGTGAGAAGCATTAACAGCACTGGTGATACCTTGTGAAAAAAAGGGGAAGAAGAAGAGAAAAGGGTCAGACACTCATTCACGTTACAAATACAGTTATAATTTTGACCACATTGTCTGATAGCCCCTAAATACATTAAATAACCATTGCTAAGCCTAAGATGTGAGCTTTAAATGGCTGTGTTGCATTTGGGATTGATATACAATGGCAATTAATTTACATGGGCACATAAAACTTTACAAAACTATGTGGAATTCTGTATTCTTCCACATGTTAGCTGCACAGCTAAATGACAGAGTTCTGCTCTCCTCTAAAAGGAAGTATCCTCTCTGAAGCACAGCATTCAGGATATGAAGATGTGGAATCTGCACATGAGGAGCATCTCTCAGGTAAGATGACCAGAGAAATGTTATGATCACCATTTAGAAATTAAATTCATTATAAATCCATATTTTGTACAGTAATGGCAAAACCATTTACAGTAAATTTGATGTTTTAAAACACAGCAAATTCATTTACTTACTGCAGTCTCTATCCAGGTTGCTTTATATGATATTTACTGCTCTTTACTGTTTCAGATTTTCTTTAACTGTCCTCAATTTCTCTATAATACTGAGTCTAGTTTGTTTCTCCAATTAAACGTTTGATTCATCTCTAGATCAGAAGTGTCAAAAATTAATTCTTGTGCTATTTTAATGGACTCACACACTGTAGCTCAAAAAAAACTGAATTTTAGGATTCTGAAATTTCTGTATTAACACCTTTTTAATGAATGTTTGATTCTTAAATGTAATTAAAATGAATACATTTTAAAAAACGTTTTACAGCAAAGTCTCTGACTGGAGTAAAATCAGAATATTGTGATGATGTCACCACCAGTGGCCTGAAAAGTGGGCTCCTTTAGTAATCAATCACCTGTTTTTATCTATATATTAAACCACAAAGTAAAACTATGACTGCACAGTTTGTAAGGTCAGTCTGCTTTTATTTGATTTAGGTGAATCAGCAAAAGAGGACACAGCAGAGAACTATGATGATGTCTTCACAGCTGGACAGATCTCTGATAGTGTAGCAGGTGTGTTTCTGTTTTGGGGTTTTAGTTTAGAAAGTAGAAATTGAAAAGAAATGTATAAACTATAACAATATAGCAATATAATAAATGCAGTGAAGGTTGAATAATCAAATAAATGTGATTGTAAAGTTACTATGGAGTGTCTGTGGAAGTTGACTCTTCCCCAGAGCTACAGTAAATTCAATTACATATGTGTTTAAAATAAGCTAATATTCAATTCACATACTATTTAAAATCAAACTATGCAAAACAAAACCTAATTAAATGTTGATAGTGCTAATGCTAATGTTAGGCTCATAATATTTTCAATCATTTTGTTTGAAACAGCTGACAAATACGTGTTGCAGACACCTACAGTCATTCAAAATGTAGTTTTGATCCTTTAAATATCTGTGTTTTGGTGTAGAGGACATAGCGGAGAATTATGATGACGTCATGACTGCTGATCAGAGCTCAGCTGTTGTAACAGGTTTGACTTGTAATGTAACAATACTGTAATCTCAAACATGAACACAGTCACTGATGATACTGATGCTGATTTAATGACATTTATCTCTACATTTTGACAGAAGACATGACAGATAACTATGATGATGCTGTTACCACTGGACCAAACTCAAACATTACGGCAGGTTTTTCCTTTATTTATATATATATATATATATATATATATATATATATATATATATGTATATATATATATATATATATATATATATATATATATATATATATATATATATATATATATATTATTGTAAAAAGAAAATTAAACTGAAACTTCAATACAGTAAAATGTCTGGTTTGTTGCTTATTTTTAAATTTTATTTTCCCATGTTGGTAAAGGGGATGTTGTGTATGCTGCTACATTGCAGATGCATATGAGTGTGGAGGGTAGAGTAATTAATTCAAGTGCACAGGAAGTCTAGCGATAAATGAGTTTTGTTATCAATGATGAATTAACAATGTCCTCTTTATTTTGATGCAGAGACTATTTTATAAAGAAACAGTTGATTAGTGCCACACTGCTCTCTAGACAGGACGGGAATCAGTAATCAGTCCTCTCTACATCTGTCTAACTGTGTTCTAAGAATGATGGGACAGTGCAGATGCTCAAAACTAAAACAGAGTTGGTTGTGTTTTTGATGGTTGTTTCATTTAAGGGCACTGTGTAGATCTGTAGAACTGGGGTTTCTGGAGGGTTGGTGTCCAGACTAAACATAGTAATTAACAGATGAGTTAAATCAGGTGTGTTTGATCACTAAACAGGGAAACAGGGGCATCTGTGCTGGACACCTGCCTTCCAGAACCAGAGTTAAGAGTCCTGCACTAAGGTCTTCCATGTAGGGGAATCAGACTGGAGTAAACTCATTCACTGGCAGCTCTGTAGCTTCTTCTACACATGGATCATCTTAGCATTATGGTGGTGTTTTGATAAATATGAGAAGAAAAACTATTGGAAAGAAATGCTGGTAGAAAAAAAAATATTCGAAGATAAAAGAAAAAGATTCATTTAGTGAGCAACTTGATCTGAATTACAGCCTGCATATTTAACAGACCTACATAAC